CCTGCATGTCCTGGAACTCACTCGGTAGACCAGGCTGGCCTCCAACTCGGAGATCTGCCTGGCTTTGCCTCCCAAGTGCTGGGATCAAAGGCATGCACCACCACCATTGCCCACTGCTCAGCAAAAATAAATAAATCTTAAAAAAAAAATAAATAATAATAATAATAATAATAAGAAGAAGAAGAAGAAGAAGAAGAAGAAGAAGAAGAAGAAGAAAGTAAAAAAGGAAAGAAGAGAAGGAAGGAGGGTGGGAAGAACATAGAAACTTAGATGGAGGATGGTTGGAAAAGTAGGGTCCCATGCCTCTGTTGGCCGTGGTGACTTAGTGACTGACATATGGTGTCAGCCTATTGAATGAGCAGAGCATCCTGGGTCCTTCCGGATCGTTATAACGTTATATGGACTCTGCAAATAGTCCTGTCTACAGCAGGAAGTAGAACTGGCCTACAGTTCTAAATTTTGTTAGAATTGTTAGAAGTGAGAGGACCGAAACACAGCTCCACACTGTCACTCTCAAACTGTCACACTCACACAGCCTGAGGAGGTCCCTTCATCTTTCAGGGACCATGACTCAGGCCAAAATGGGATTTGTGACTTTTACAAAAAAAAAAAAGAAATCCAGGCCTACTTGTTTTGAAGCAGAGTTGGAGACTTTATTAAAGATTATTTTATTTTATTTATTTATTTATTTATTTTTGGTTTTTCGAGACAGGGTTTCTCTGTGTAGCTTTGTGCCTTTCCTGGATCTCGCTCTGTAGGCCAAGCTGGAGATTTTATTTTATTTCGAGACAGGGCTTCTCTGTAGCTTTGGAACCTGTTCTGGAACCCACTTGTAGAACAAGCTGGTCTCGAAGTCACAGAGAGCCACCTGTCTCTGCTTCCTGAGAGCTGGCATTAAAGGTGTGTGCCACCACCGCCCGGCTATTAGAGATATTTTTAATAGAGATTGCTCAGTAAAGATTGCTTGCTGTTCTTCCAGAAGATTCAAGCTCTGTCCTCAATACCCACTTTGGGTAGCTCACAACTGCCTGTGATTCCTGCTCCAGGGGGAAAAAATGGCCTCACAAACACAAATATAAACATAAAAATTTTAAAAATGTAATTTTTTTTTTGAGATAAGGTCTCTCTACATAACCCTGGCTATTCTGGAACTTGCTATGTTGGATCCCCTGGAACTGGTGTTAACAGACCATGTGGGTGCTGGGGATGGAACTTGGATCCTCTGCAAGAATAGCAAATGCTCCTAACCACTAAGCCACCTCTCCAGTCCCAAAATCTTTTAAAAAATGAATTATTTTAAGTGTATGTATGTATGTATATCACACTTGTGAAGAGTCTGTACAGTTCAGAAGAAAGCATCAGATGTCCTGGATGTGGAGTTATAGATGGTTGTGTGTGCTGGGATTTGAACCTAGGTTCTCTACAAGAGCAGCAAGTGCTGTTTTTTTTTTCTCCAGTTTTTGAGGGTGTGTGTGTGTGTGTGTGTGTGTGTGTGTGTGTGTGTGTGTAACAGCCCTGGCTGTCCTGGAACTTCAGGCTGGCCTTGAACTCTGAGATCTACCTGCCTCTGCCCCAGAGTGCTGGGATTAAAGGTGTGTGCCACCACTGCTGGGCTTGCAGCAAAAGCTCTTAAGCACTAAACCATCTCTCCAGAACTGTTTGTTTTCAAGACAAGGTTTCTCTGTGTAGCCCTGGCTGTCCTGGAACTCGCTCTGTAGACCAGGCTGGCCTTGAACTCAGAGAGATCCACCTGCCTCTGCCTCCGGAGTGAAGGGTTTAAAGGTGTGCACTACCACCCATGGCCTGGTAGCCCTTTTATTTTTAAGGTTTATTTTTATTTTATATGTATGGGTGTTTTTACTTGCCATGTATGTCTGTGCCCAGGGAGGCCACAAGAGAGCATCACATCTTCTGGAACTGGAGTTATAGATGGTTGTGAGTCACTATGTGGGTGCTGGACATAGAACCCCGGTCCTCCGGAAGGGCAGCCAATGCTCTTCAACACTGAGCTATCTCTACCGACGTTTTGTTGTTTTATTTTGAGACAGGACCTCATTATGTTGCTCTGGTTGGCGTGGAACTCGTTATATAGACCAGAGATCTGCCTGCTTCTGCCTCTCGAGTGGTGGGATTAAAGGTGTGATATATATATTTAAATTTGGGGGTTAGGGAAAGGAATGGCACACGGAATGAGGGAGGACAGGCAGGCAGAAAACCAAGTGGGCGTGTGCTCCCCAAGGCAGATTAAGGGAGCATGACCGAGACATGCCTGGTGTGAGTATGGGTTCCTCGAGGGAACCTTGAAATTAGCTTAGTGTTAGCCAGAGACACCATTTTGGCTGCTCTCCAGTTAGCTCTCAAATGTTCTTACAAAAGCTTTCCCCTCTGTTCTCTCTTTTTTTGATAAGTGAGGTAAGTTCAGTGGCTCTGGAGGTGATGAGGGTCACAGAAAGGATTCTCTCCTCCCGCACTCTGAACCCTCCACCGAAGTCCATCCAGCTAGAGATGTAGCCTAGGATAGCTGCACTGAACTGAGGGTGGACTCAAGTTCAAGTCCTCAAGGCCCAAACCACCTCAGAGCCACACCACACTCAGCCTTGTTCTGCCCCTTGGCATCCAAGGGGGACACACCAGAGTTCACGGCCTCCTCTAGCCCTGTTCGGCTCTCTCCACCATACCTAGGCAGTCCCCTCGCAGATCTCTCAAGGGACAGTCTTTTTTGGTAACTCTTTCTAAAAGACTAAACTAGCCCAGGAAGGCAAAACACAAAATACCCTGAAACAGGCTGCCCTTTCCTGAGAATGACATGTCCTCCCAAACCAGGTGTTCTGAGAGAGAGCCTTGGTGTGTGGCTAACTCACCAACTCTCATCCTAAGAGCCTTCCTTCCTGTACCTACCTTCCTGGGGACAATCAGAGCTACGCTTCAGCTGCAGGTACCACCACCTTCACCTCGGGTCTGGGTGGGGAACTCCTGCAGAAAGCCCAGTGCGGGCCCTGGACTGCAGCCAGGCAAGCTCAGCACTGCAGGTGCTTGCTCCTTCCTCCTCCTCCTCCTCCTCCTCCTCCTCCTCCTCCTCCTCCTCCTCACCCAGCACTCCAACAGAAACCACAGCACAACCATGCTCCCAAGTCTGAACAGAAACAGGACTGCATCCAGTTCTCATACCAACCCTGACTAGGCAAGACCACTATTATCAGCCCCACTTCACAGAGGAAGAAACTGAGACTAATCTGGGCGTTGAGGCTGGCTGTCAGTTCCCAAGCCTGCTCTAGGAATAACTGTGCAATGTGACTTCCAAAAGCCTTCCAGCTCTAAACTGTATGAATTCTCCAGTTTGATTCATTTGAAATTACAAAGCTAGTGCTGAGTAGTGCTTAAGAACCTGAGATGAACCAGTTGGCGACGGGCCAATTCTAGAACCTGTCAGTTCTTCCATTCCACTATTCCAGTGGTACTCAAGGATACAGACCACCCAGCGCTGAATACCTATTCAAATCCCACAGTAGGCTCCCAGTTCTAGAGGAAGAGCACCACGTGATTATCCTGCACACAGGTCCCTCCCTGTCCCTACCCCACCCCAGGGCGTGATCTACTCAACACTTCCCATTCTCCAAGCATGGGGAACTCTGGCCTGGAATGCAAGAGGCACCTTTGAGCTGGAGGTGTACTGAATCCAGAGTGCTTGCGGAGCTTACAGGGAGCCCTGGGTCCATCCCTAGACAGGGGCAACATGATGACAACAGACTTGGAAGGAAACTTTTAGTTTCCATGGCTCCTGGTAGCTTCTCTGTGGCCCTAAAGGGACAACCACAGGGATTTTATTTTTATTTTATTATTCATTTATTTGGTTTTTCCACACAGAGCTTCTCTGTGTAACCCTGGCTGTCTTGGAACTCACTTTGTAGACCAGGCTGGCCTCAAACTCACAAAGATGCACCTGCCTCTGCCTCCCAAGTGCTGGGATCAAAGGCGTGCGGCACCACTGCCTGCTGAAAATAGATTTTTCATGGTTTCTCCTCCCCGAAGTCTTCCCAGATCTTCCTCACCTCCCACAACCACAGGATTCTTGTTTGAGATGGTTTGGTTTTCCCTCTACTTTTCATTTGCTTGTATGTATATATATATACATATATATACACACACACACACACACACACACACACACACACACACACACACACATATATATATATATATATATATATATATATATATATATATATATATATATACATACATACATGGGTCTCACATAAGCCAGGCTGGTCTCAAATTCACGTAGCTTTGACCTCATGATCGGCTTGTCTCTACCTGGGGTACATCACTAGGTGGTTATATGTGCCACCACACACCCAGCTTTGGGACTGGATAGTTGTGAGGAAATAAAAGTGCATGTCTGTACCCCTAAAACTGACAACACAGGCAAGAACCAAAGTCAACAAGCAGTCACCAAACTCACACTGCATGTTTGGGGCAGTTAGTACTAGTACTACATTTAAACTCTGGGACAGCTGCTCTGTAAGGCTCTCCTAGTCAAAGCCTGTGCAATAGCCTGTGTGCATAGAAAGAGCAGACAGGTCCAGCCACTGAAAGGGTGCTGGGGGAGAGGGAGGGGAGCCTCTTTTTCTGAGTTCCAGCCCTGTGGGGTGACACTTAACCACCTCCGGGGCTGCAGCTGGGATCCAAGCACCGTCGCTGGGAACTAGACTTCTTCCCTTCCCCCACTGGAACCGACATCCAGCAGAGCTCGGAGCTGCCCTGGGGGAAGGGGCTGCCTGCCAAGTATCTGCCCACCTGGGGCCCGGGCCAGGGCCAGGTCAGACTCTGCAGTCTGTGCACAGCTTGAAAAAAAAAAAAAGTGGGCAAAAGGGTGTCCTTGAGTTAACAGGCCTTGCTTCTTACTCTGCTCATCAAGAAATAGCAGGAAATAAAGTAAGAAAATCAAAGAATCATAAACTGTTTACAAGAATAGCTACTTTCCCAATTCTTATTTACAGGTGTGTCTACACCATGGGACCCATCCAACAGGAAGACCAGTTTGCTTGTTCATTGGATCACATCTAATGGAGCCATTTGCTTATTCATTAAGCATTTGTTAAGCACCTGCCCTAGGAAACAGGAAGGGCCCAGCTTGAAGGGAGAAAGGGAACCAGCCATTTTAAGTAAGTAAACAAAGAAGACTTCAGACTGTGCAACATGCTTTGAAGGAAGTTACCGGGAGAGGACAGAAAGTACCTGGTTGGGGGCAGGGAGAGGACCTGCTTCAGCTACATCTGACACTCGAGCTGAGCTACCTGAGAAGTCTGAAGAAATGCTGCTCCAGACAGGCCAGGAATCAATGAGTGCAAGGTTCCAGAGATGGGAACTGCCGAGTTGAAGGCCCTTCAGCGTGCCTAGACAGCAGTCAGCAGTCAGACAGGTTCCTACAAAGCAGGGCCTCCTGGGCCAGGATGGGTCGCTATGAGGATCCTGTGGGTCAGCCTGAAAGGCTGTTGGAAAGCCCACTTCTGTCATTAGGAATGAATTAATGAGCCTGATGGAGCCATATCCGGAGCCTGCCCCGGATGCACACAAAATCTTCAACTTCAACATTTTGAGCAAGTTACTAGTATCTTCCTGCCTACCCACCTCTCTTTGGGGTGTGTGTGTGGTGGGGGAGTGATGGGATGTGTAGGTCAGGGTCTCTTGTAGCCCATGCCAGCCTTAAACTCCAGATCTTATTTCACCCTCCCTAGCACTGGGATCACAGGTGGGCACCATTACACCCAGCAGCAGTTTGGTTTCTGAGATGGTTCCAAATAGCTCATACTGACCTTGAACTCCTGTCCCCAAATTTCAAGTGCAGGGATTACAGGCACTACCATAGTGGAGATTAAAACAACCCCCAGTAGACAGGGTCTCAATACACAGCCCCGATTGGCCTGGAATCTGTAATCCCCCTCTGACTCAGCAGCGTCTCAAGAGCTAGGAGTTTTTTGAAATAAGGTTTCTCTTGGAGGTCAAATTACATGTATGCAGTTTTATCAGTTTATCTTTACCCTCAAAAACGATTTAAAAAGCTATCTCAATTGTAAAAAGTACACATGCAAACTTTAAATTCAATATTGTATAAAGAATATAAATGTGGCTGTTTACCAGGAAAGGCAGCTTATATTTCTGGAGTAACAAACTTGGTCATTGCAGTCTCATTTGGCACTTTAGGAACTAAATCCTGGGCCTGAAGAGATGGCTCAGAGGTTAAGAGCACTGGCTGCTCTTCCAGGGGTCCTGAATTCAATTCCCAGCATCCACATGGCAGCTTTTGACTGTCTATGTAACTCCAATTCCAGGGGGTCTCACACAGACATGCACGCAAAACACCAATACACCATAAACATGAAACACATACACCAAAACACCATACACATGAAATAAAAATTAAAACAAAACTAAATCCCAGAGTGGAGAGATGGCTCAGCAGTTAAGCACATTTGCTCCCTCAGCAGAGGTCCGAGTTTAGTTCCCAGCGCCCACAATCAGCAGCTCACGAGAAACCCGCGCCCTCTTCTGGCTTCTGCACTTATGCGCACATACCCCTTACCACGTAAATAGCGAGTTCCAAACCAGTCAGTTGCAAGTTGAGAGGTGAGATCTTGTCTCAAAAATACCCTCTAAACCCAACACACACCCAAAGAAAACCACCACCAATAACAACACCACCAACAAAATGCCCTCAGTATGTTTGAATGATCTGGGCCATCTATCTAGTTCCTCAAATTTTTCCTTTTAAGAACCAAAACCAATTGAAATATTGGTATTGACATTCGCTGAGGTCTGTTCCATTCAGCGGAGGTTAGGGAGATGCATGAGGGAATGAAGGCGTGGGGTGACGAAGGAGAACGAGTAGAAAGGGGCGGGGCGGGGTCCAGAGGCAAGTGGCGATCGCAGCTGCACCCCGAGTTTGGGGCCGGGGACCTGGGATTGAGGCCCGGGCTCTCCCAGAACCCGCAGAAAGCAGGTAGAGATGCATCAAAGAAGGAGAGAAGTCGACCCAGACAGGGAATGCCCGCGGGAATAGATTCTACAGCGACCAGCTGGGATCCGCCGCTGGCCGTAGGAGACAGGGTGCCTGGAGCGAGGGCCAATAGGAGAGCGAGCCAGAAGAGGGGCGGGGTGAGGCCAATGGAAGTACGGCCTTGGGCGCAAGGCCAAGGGGAGGACGAGCTAGACTGGGGGCGGGGCCTCTGGGGCGAAGCCAATGGTAGGGAGAGCGGCCTGGGAACGCGTGGCCAATGGCATGGCGAGCTGGATGGGGGCGTGGCCTCTGGGGCGAAGCCAATGGCTGGGAGTGCGGCTTGGGCGAGGCCAATAGCTGGGAGAGCCCCGGAGCGCGGGGGTGGGGGAGGAGCCAGACCCGGAAGGCGGTGGGGGCGGGGAGCCAAGCTGACAACCTGTCAAGTCCACTTCGGGACGAACTAGGTCACGCGCCTCTTGTAGCTCCGGCGCCCCCGCCCCGCGAGGCCCTGCGGGTGGCCCTGGGGCCCAGCCGCTCCGCTTCCTCTTCCTGCCCGCGGCGGTGGGGGCGGGGCGGGCACCTGCCGTCCGCAGGCCCGCTCCAACCCCTGGGCTGCCCGAGGCCGCCTCGCTCGCGGGCCCGCGCGCGCCCCGATCCGCTGGGAGCCGGCTCCGCGGTCTCCGACGCTGGCCGTGGGCTCGCGGAAGCGCACAGCGCACTACTTGACGCGGAAGGATCCGGCACCCGCGGTCACCTGTCCTCCACTCGAATCCGACCTCGGCCGAAGGGCCCGCGACGACGATCGTCCGCCCCACGGAGAAGTCCTAGTGATTCTGACCCGCGCCGCCAACCTCACAATGGCGCGGACATCCTGGCACTGTCACGAAGCGCCCCTTACGCTTCTGCGCCCAGAGCTTTTCTGCCGAGGGGACCGCGGCGGGACCCTTCTCCCCACTCGCCTATTCAGATGATGCGAACGTCCCCACACGACACCATGACGCTGTTTTAACAATGCCCAACTCTGTTCTTCCAAACTGCACACACTTAGAGGTGACATGGCCACAGTTGCTGGGTTGCGGTGCTACGCTGGGTTACTGCACTTACTATTTGAAATACTCCCTTACAACAGCGGAACGACAGATTAAAAACATTTAATTTTCGTTCGAGCACAGCACTTTAGCCAATGAATATTTTGTGAACATTTCTATCCAATATCCCTAGATTTAAAAAAATTTATTTTAAAGTTTTTAAAATTACCAAATAATTAATCAGTAAAGTAGTTTTGTTGTCTTTAAATTCCAGCCTTTATTGAAATGTTTTTTAGCCTCCTGACAGGGGTGTGAGGCCACATTATTTGCAATATGTATCGATGTAAATTTTGTACACTTGCAATTTCACATTTAAAATAGCCTTTATAAAGTTCTCTCTTGGAGCCCCTCTCTTGAGATTCTATAACTTCTATACATCTTAAATTTGGATAAAAATAGTTTTTAAATTAAAGATAGAAAATGAGCTTATTCAATTAGCATCTTTACATTTGAAGAATGGTCTTTCATATTTATTATTTTGTAACGGTACTACCTATACAAGGTATAAATGGAAGTCCTACCTTGTTAAAAATTAAAATCTAACGAGACAGGCCTTTATTGTGTGGTTATTATCTTTTCATTATTACTAGTTCTTTACAGCCAGATAATTTTCCAGAGGGAAACATTGCTCCTGTCTTTAATCAATGGTGTTAACAATCCTCTGCCTTTGAGAATATAAATTTTAATTCCCACACCACCCCCACCCCCGACAGAGTTTCTCTGTGTAACAGTTCTGGCTGTCCTGGAACTCGATTTGTAGACCAGGCTGGCCCTGAACTCACAGAGATCAGCTTTGTAGACCAGGCTGGCCCTGAACTCACAGAGATCAGCTTGCCTCTGCCTCCCAAACGCTGGGATTAAAGGCATGCGCCAACATTTTAATTTCTTTATAACTTTGTTATTTTTGGGTGGAAGGCCTGTTTCACTGTGGGAGTAGGAAGGTTAAGGACAATTTGTAGGAGTCCTCTTCTTTTACCATGTGGATGCTGGGGATGAAACGAACCTCCATCCTGTGACAGGGTCTCACTATGTAGCCTTGCTAACCTGGAACTCACTATGTAGACCATGTTGGCTGAAAACTCAAATTCCTCTGCTTCTGTACTGCTGGGATTAAAAAAGTGTGCAACACCACCTCCGACTTCAAAAATGACCTTTACTTATTCATCTTTGTTTTTATTCACCAGTGTGCAGGTGCCCACTGGAGCCAGAAGAGGGGATTGGGTCCCCTGGAGCTGGAATTAATTACAAAGTGTTGTAAAACAGTCAGCATGGGTGCTGGGAAGTCAGTGAACTTGGGTCCTTTGGAAGAGCAGCAAGCACTTTTACCCCAGGAACCATCTTTCTAGTTTCTAATTGCCTAGGTTTTGAAGTTTTTTCCTATTGAAGGTTGTTTTATTCTTCCATCTCCTTCTTGGGAATGGAACCTAGAACCTTGCCCATGCTCAGCAGTGCTCTGGTCATTCTTTTTTTTTTTTTTTTTTTTTTTTTTTTTTTTTTTTTTTTGGTTTTTCGAGACAGGGTTTCTCTGTGTAGCTTTGCGTCTCTCCTGGAACTCACTTGGTAGCCCAGGCTGGCCTCGAACTCACAGAGATCCGCCTGCCTCTGCCTCCCGAGTGCTGGGATTAAAGGCGTGCGCCACCACCGCCCGGCCATGGTCATTCTTTTAATGTCAATTAATGCCAAGCAGACTATAAAATCACGGGGTTTTCCTTCAACAAATAAACCTTGATATTGCCAATAAGCAAAGTCAACACTGGGAAAACATGAGCATGAGCTGTCATTTTTTTTTTTTTTTTGGTTTTTCAAGACAGGGTTTCTCTGTGTAACTTTGTGCCTTTCCTGGAACTCACTTGGTAGACCAGGCTGGCCTCGAACTCACAGAGATCCGCCTGGCTCTGCTTCCCGAGTGCTGGGATTAAAGGCGTGCGCCACCACCGCCCCGCTTGAGCTGTCATTTTTATCTTGCATGGACTGGAGATTTAGCCCATATGTGTTACAAGTGTTACAATCAGGAATGACATTAAGGAAAGTTAAAACTTAAAATCCAGTACAATCATTTTACTACATTAGGCTATATTGACACACCTTTACCAGAGAGCAGAAAAAAATTGTATGTATGTATGTATGTATTTATTTATTTATTTATTTATTTATTTATTTGCTTTTAAGACAGGGTCTTAGTGGGTATAGTGGCAAATGCCTTTAATCCCAGTGCTTGTGGGCCAGCCTGGTTTATATAGCCAGTTTCAGGCCAGCCAAGGCTACATAGTGAGATCCCCTTACAAACAAACAAACAAACAAACAAACAAACAAGTGTAGGATTTTGTAATATAGCCCAGATGGACCTAGTACTTGTGGGTCCTACTTCCACTGGGAGAAGTACAGATGTATACAGTACAACACCCAGCAAAAATAAATCTTTTTTTTTCCTTGTGTTACTGGGAGTTGAACCCAGGGTCTTGTGAATGTTAGGTAAGCACTACTGAGCTACACCCCAAGCATTTTTTTTTTCCTGATACAAGGTCTGAAATACCCAACAGTGGCTTTGAACTCAGTATGTAGCCCAGGTTGACCTCAAGTTTTTGGGGCTCCTCTGGCCCCAGACTTCTGGATAGCTGGGATAATGGCCTGTGTCACTAGACACAGCTTGTAACTTTTCTTAAACACTTTGATGTGGTGTGTCACTTTAAAAATTGCCAATCACATGAGAAAACAATCTTCTTTCATTCTCTTAAATACACAAAGTTAGAAGTAGGGGCCAGCAAGACAGTTCAGTGGGTAAAAATAGGTCTGATGACTTGAGAGCCCCACTGTGGATGCTGGCCTTGGTGTATACTTGCCTGCACACACACACAAAATATACGTAGAAATAATTTTTCTTTTTTGCTGTACACCGTTGGGTGTGGTGACCCATATCTGTAATCCTATAACTCAGGAAGTTGAATCAGTCTTGGCTACATATCTGGTTCTGAGCCAGCTTGGGCTAAAGTGTAAAACCCTGAGACCTGTGTCACCAAACCAAAACACATTAGGAGCTCAAAGACAGTTGGCTTCTCACCAGTGAACATATGCTAAAACCTAAAAGGAAAGATGAGAAAATCCGATTGGCTCCAGGTGCCCAACAGTGTTCTGTGAGTGTGTCATTTTGTACAGCCAGAGGAGAGACAAAGATGTAGGGGTGCAGCTCAGTGGCAGAATGCTTAGCTCGGGGTGCAAGAGGCCTGGGATCTGCTCTACAGTGTGGCAAAGGGAAAAGAGTAACATGCCATCATCGTCCACTTCATGAGTGGGTTCTGTGGAGGAGACTAGAAGCCAGCACCACGGCTACAGGTGCCACTGTCTCCAGATTTCTGAGATGCTTTCCCGTGACCTCCAGGGGACGGGCAAGAGGGAACAGATGGCTGGGCCTAACCTACTCCAGCACCAGGAAGGGAATCCAAGCATGTGCCACACAGACACAGCTGTAATGTCAGCACAGCTGAGATGGCTGCTGTATCCCACCTTCCCCTGCTGCAGCCCTTGAAGCCCACCAGTGCCCTGCCTCCTCAGAGGAAGGCTGTGTACTAGATCTAGAGCCTCTGAGGGGGTTGAGACAGGTTTTTTGCAATATCCCAGGCCTTTTTTTTTTTTTTTTTTTTGGTTTTTCAAGGCAGAGTTTCTCTGTGTAACAGCCCTGGCTGTCCTGGAATTTGCTTTGTACACCAGGCTGGCCTTTAACTCAACAGAGATCCGCCTGCTTCTGCCTCCTGAGTGTATCACACCTGGCTCCCAGGCTAGTCTTGAACTATATGTTTATGAGCTGGTCTTAAACTCACAGCAATGCTTCTGCCTCAATTCATAATTGCTGGATCATAGCCATGGTGTGAGTGTGTGTGTGTGTGTGTGTGTGTGTGTGTGTGTGTGTGTGTGTGTGTGTGTGACCATGCCCAACAAACCTGTTTCCACCGTCCATACCCCCAGTGCCAGGAATTAAACTTGGAACCTTACACATGCTAGGCAATTACTCCACTACCATGCTCTAGTTGTAGCCCGTGAAGGATTTTTCTTTGCATCTTCTGTGTCCTCGAATGGTCTTCTCCCTGTCTTTGTCTATTTTTGTCATCCAGTAATACTGGATTGGGGTATTGGGATACATCAATAATGACTGTTTGTTTGTTTGTTTTGTTTTTCGAGACAGGGTTTCTCTTTGTAGCTTTGCGCCTTTCCTGGAACTCACTCTGTAGCCCAGACTGGCCTTGAACTCACAGTGATCCACCTGGCTCTGCCTCCCAAGTGCTGGAATTAAAGGCATGCACCACCATCGCCCGGCTTTTTTTTTTTTTTTTTTTTGAGACAGAGTCCCATTATGTAGCCGTGACTGGCCTCCACCACCACAATCTACCGGCCTCTGCCTTCCTATTGCTAGGACTAAAGGTATGCACCACCGCACCCAGCTAATGACCTCATTTTAACCACTTACCTCTTCAAAGATCCCGTGTCCAAATACATTCACCCTCTGAAATCCTGAGATTAGCTTTTGAATATGTGGATTCAGGGAGAGGGCCCAAATCTCTCTCCATAACAGGAAGTGAGGGGCTAGTGGGAAGGTGACTTGTTAAAGACATTAAGTGGTTGCCCTTAATAACAAAGTTGGACTTTAGGCTGTCAGAGAGGAAAGTGCCCTGAGAGAGGGAAGGAAAGTTCTAGAGAGCTTAGTTCTCTGGAACTTTTGGCCAATTGGCTCTATTCAAATACTGCAGGCCAGAAGCAGGACAGAAAGACAGGGAATAGATATTAAGGGAACATAGGAAGGGAAGAGGCTTCTCTGGCCTCAGGTTGGAGTCTATCAGCAGCTTGAGAATCACAGATTGGAGCACAATTAACATTTGCTGCAAAAGTTATGACAGAGAGACAAGATTCCTTTTATATAGATTTGTTTGGTTTTGGTTGGTTGTTTGAGGCTACTGTTTCAAATGTAGACCAGGCTGGCCTTTAACTCACAGAGGTCTGCCTTCCTTTGCCTCCCAAGTACTGGAATTAAAAAGGCATCTGCTACCACACCTGGTTTATATAGGAATGTTTTAAATAAGAATGTTAAAATAGGGGGCTGGAGAGATGGCTCAGTAGTTAAGAGCACTGGCTGCTCTTCCTTCCAGAATTTGGTTCCCCACATCCACAGCAGTTACCTCACAACTGCCTGTAACTGCATTTCCAGGGGAATCCTCTTGTAGCCTCCAAGGGCAACCCTTCTACACACACACACACACACACACACACACACACACACACACACACACACAAATAAATCTGGGGGAAAAAAAGATTAAGACAGCAGTGAACTGTGCTTGAGGTCAGACAATTAGAGCCTGATTCTTCTCATATTTTCCAGGAATTTCACAAACAGGACTATCAGCTTTTGTTTACTGTAAAAACACCTGAACTTCAGTGAGCAAGGCTGGTGACCTGGGGTGTGACCTTATCAGTAGTGAACCACACCCTATGACCCATTCACGGTCCTTAGCAACCCTTTGAGCTATTCAGAAACCACCCAAATCCAGGGCTCTACCTACTGAG